GCAGGTCCGGCCAGCTGGGAGGCAAGGGGCAGGGGGAAGGAGAGCAGGGGCTGGGGTCCCCATGGGCATCTTACATCTCTCTTATTCTTCATGGCCTCCTTCAAAGTGTTGCGGGGCAGCTCGGGCTCCGTCCAGTTGCTCAGCCAGACATCCAGGGACTGCAGGTAGTTCTGCACGCTGGGGCGCCCAGGGAAGTACTGCAGAGAGGGGAGAGGGGTGAGGAAACACAGACTCCATGCTGGGAGCAGCAGGGCAGCCCAAAGGCACCCCCAGCTCCCCAGGACAGACACTGGGCAGCACCAGCATCCCCTATGCTGGAGGGCAGCGCGGTCCTGGCAAGGTTTTGGTGCCTGTCCCCGAGGGGCTGGGGCCGTGGTGTGTTACCCACACAGTGGCAAGGCCCCCGCGTGCATGTTCAGGCTCCAAACCTCAGCCCCATCTGAGGGAGGCAAAAAGCCACTCTGACCATAAGTCTGGCAAAGCCGATTAGCAGCTGCACTTTAAAACCGCTCTGGGGAGAGGGGCAGCCTGCCAGAGTGTGCCACTGACAGACACACAGACAGAGGGAACGACCTGTGGGGAGGATGAGGCCAGCAGCACGCAGGAAAAGTGATGGGGAAGTGAAAGGAAGGAGGGTTTTGCTAAGTCTGAGCTGTTCTTCCCAGGCCCGTGAGGAATCACACCTAAAGACCCAAATTCGCAGGGGAATTCATCTGTGACCTAATAGTTCTGCTGTAAAATGCAGTGTCTCTCTGACTCCTTGGACAGGAGGCTTTGCCATGTGATTCCTTGCTTTCCCGGGACTTCTTTCTGCGTTAGGACTTTTTCCCCCTCTCCTTGCCCTAAATACATCTTGGGAATGCAGGAGTTAAGGCCGGGACCAGCTGGCTGAGCTCCCCAGGCTGAGCCCTGGGCTGGCAGCAATCCTGGGGATGCTGCTCCGTCCTGTGGATGAGAGTGGCAACGGCAGCACTGGCTCAGTGTCCTCGGGGAAGCACAGGCACCCACCACCCACTGCTACAGCTCATCACGGGGAAGGTTTGCAGGAGGAATTTAAAGTGGATCAAATAAAATCACTGCTGCTCCCCACCCGGGCACACTTGGCCCAGGAGCTGGTGCCATGGGGATTTATTTTCCTAACTCTTGGTATTAAGTTAATGTCATAGAATCATAGAATCAACCTGGTTGGAAGAGACCCCAAAGATCATCGAGTCCAACCCTACCCTGGTCACTAGCCCATGGCACTAAGTGCCACATCCAGTCTCAGCTTGAAAACCTCCAGGCATGGTGAATCCACCACCTCCCTGGGCAGCACATTCCAATGCCTGAGCACTCTCTCCTTAAAAAATCTCTTCCTAATATCCAACCTAACCCTCCCCTGGCAGAGCTTGAGTCTGTGCCCTCTTGTCCTGCTGCTGGTTGCCTGGGAGAAGAGACCAACCCCCACCTGACTCCAACCTCCTGTCAGGGAGTTGCAGAGGGTGATAAGGTCTCCCCTGAGCCTCCTCTTCTCCAGGCTGAACACCCCCAGCTCCCTCAGCCTCTCCTCATGGCACTTGTGCTCAGTCCCTTCACCAGCCTCGTTGCTCTTCTCTGGACCAGCTCCAGACCCTCAATATCCTTCCTGAACTGAAGGGCCCAGAACTGAGCACAGCGAGGGCTACTCAAGGTCCAAACTGAGTGAGAGACCCTGGGTGATAGAGGAGGGAGCAAACAAAGTGGGCATGGCCAGGTAAGGTCTGCCAAGGAGCCTGAGCTGTGGCAGGGATGAGGACAGGGTTCCTGCAGACCCAGTGGAGCAAACAGCCAAACGCAGTGTTCCACCACAGCAGGAAATTAAACTGTCCTGCTTGTGCTGGCTCAAAGCTCCCACTCACTCCAGCTACACCCAGACCAACAGAGAAGAAAAAAAGGAGACCTTAAATGAGGCTCTTCTGGAGCCTGACTCAGAGTGGTGATCAGAGCAACAAACCCCTCTCTGACCATCTCTGACACCCCAGTGGGCGACAGCTTCTCTTTTGAAAAGAACCACGGCCTCTTGCAAGTGCTGATCCTGCTCTGCCCACTGAAGCTGGAATCCCACATCTTGTCTGAAACACTCCAGCACCCTCTCTTGGCTTCTGTTGGGACTCTGGGCTGAGTTTGGGGATCCAGAGGGATGGGCACTGCCTGACTCTGGACGTGCTGAGCACAGAGCTCACAACAGAGACTGCCACACTTCGCTACCTGCGAGCACTGGGGCATGGTGGCCTGCACCTTGCATTTCATAAATAGCTATATGGAGGCACATGCAGTTCCTCCTCTGACACCAACACCTCCTCACCTTCACCAGTATGGCCACATAGCACCTGAAGGCAGCCAGCTGGGCTGCTGACAGCGTGGAGGAACGGGTCGCCTCCACCCGCAGCGAGTAGTGCAGCGCGGACTCCAGGTCAGCCATGTACAGCTTGGAGCTGGGGAAAGCAGCACAACATGAGGATGCATCAGCCTGTTAATTCACACCCCAGGGACCCAGCCACGACTTGGCTTTTTTCCCAGATGGTCCCAGCCCCTTGCCCACTCGTGGCCACGGCACCTCCTCCTCCTCCCAGCCCCAGCTTCCCACAGCCCTGCAGGGGACCTCACCGGTCAGCTCGTCTCGGCTGGGACGCGTCGGACTCGTTGGAAGCAGTGCTGGTTGTGTTCAGCTTGTAGGAGCCACGGGTGATCCCTGAGAGCGTGCGCAGGTAGTAGGTGTAGAAGGAACGTGCCTCTATGTGCCTGCAAGGAAGGAGAAGGTGTAAGCAAGTCCCTCTTCCCTCCCAAACAGCCCCTGACTCCAAGGAGGAAACAAATGAGACTGAAGGCTTAGCCAGGCTGGCAACTTATATCAGGGGAGTGAGTACGGGGTGGTTCATACTCCATCTGCCCTCGGAGTGGGTATGCTGACACACCACCTGGAGCAGAGCTGAGCCCCAGGCAGACATGCTGTGCCACCTCCAGGCAGATGTGGCAAGGAGATAGCTCAGTCACACGCCATTCTCCCTTCTGCCAGCTCCAGGCAGAGCTGCCAGCGCTGTTCAGTCCCCACCAGCCTCCCCGAGCCACCCACTATCTCCTTCCTAATGAACTTGCCCACAATCACAAAGGGGCACAGAGAGATGGGGCCCAAGCCTGGCACCCCAGCAGCACCTCAGGCCCTCCCTGCTGTGTCCCACACTCACACAGGCAGGCGGGGGGAAGCAGCAGGTATCCAGAGGGGAAGGTGGTGACGCCAAACTTCTCCACGAGCTCCTCCTCGCTACTCAGCACCCTCCTCACTGCAACATTCTCAAACTGCAGCATGTCCAGTGCCACCTGCAAGCCCAGAGGCCCCAGGGTCAGACAGGGGCAGAGGGATCCCTAGCCCCAGGGTATTTACCACCCTGCTAAGCCATGTGCAAAAGGACCAGGGAGGCTGCCCGGAGAGGCCACCCCTGCCAAAGGCACCCGGGAGTTATCAGGCACCAGGAACATGGACTCCAAGAGAATTGGGGGATAAACACAGCTGTACTCACCTCTCTGCCCACAAAGGAATTGCTCTTCTCGAAGATCAGCACCAAGTACCGGTCCTTGTTCCTCTGGAAGAAGGTGCGAACCTCCTCTGCGCTGCAAAAGAGAGGAGGACAGCAGCAGGTGCCTTGGCATCAGCAGGATGCTCTGCTCTCCTGCTCAAAGATGCTCAACCCTTGCCTGCTGGGATTTGGCAGGGGATACCAGTGCAGGTTCAGCCCCACCGAGCAGGCAATTCCTCTCTGCTGAAGTTTCCAGCCCAATTTTCTGCTCTGGTTCACAGGCTTTGAGATAACCCACCAGGGTCAGCCAAGGAGGTGGAAAACAAAGCACAGGCAGAGCAGGGCAGGAGGGAGCTGCATTCTCACCCAGGGATAAAAACAGTAATGAACTGGAACCAGGGCTGTTGTTTTGGCTAGGACACAGAGGTACCAGAGACCTGAAGGATGTGCCCAGCTCAACCACCACTTTGGGAAACCCCAGGACAGTGAGGTAACTGCCTGAGACAACTCAGATCCCAACAAAACTGTACAGAATCAAGAAAACTGTCATGTCTCCAGGAATTGGGAGCACAGGCACTACTTGCTCTAATTAAGGCTGATGAGCAGGTTGATTAGAAGATGCAGTAACATGGCCCATCTCATCTGGGCCATGTAAATAGCTCTACCCTGACCACGTCTGTGTCTCCCTGGGATGTGGGTGATGCAGTGGCTGCTCCATGCTCGGTTTTGGCTCAGGATTTCCCCAGAAATCTGCTCCCCAGAGGACAGGCCACCAGAGCTACCCCCACATCACGCCGCCCCTACCTCGCCGGCTCCAGCGGAGGACAGGCAGGGGGGCGCTCAAGGTTGGTGATGATGGCATGGCGCAGCTCCTCGACGGTGGCACTGGGATCTACAGGGGCACAGGATGCCAGGGGGTTAGTCCTGGGGAAGCTGGTCCCATGGGCTGAGCTGAGGGGAGCTGCTCCCAACACATGGGATTCACACCCAGGGTAAGAAAACCCTGTGGCTCTGAATACTCACTGGTAATCCTTATCCCATCCTCTGCCTTCTTGCTAAAAGCTCTGAAGAACTGAAAAGATAAAAAAAAACCAAAAGGGGAAAGTGGAACCAATGTTTGGAATGGGATGGGGAGGCAGTGCAGCCCAGCAGGCATAGGCTCCCCCTAGACCAGCTCTGCCTCAGTTTTCCCACAACATTGCAGCATGCCAACTGACAAGAGGGAGCTCTCTGCCCTGTCCCCATCTTTTGGGGCATCCCCAGAGGGGAGGGATGCAGGTGTGGGCTGGAAACCACGTTCAGCCAAGGACTGAGCACTGGTAGGCAGCAGTGCAGGCATCTCCAGGAGTCCCAGGAAGCAGCCAGGACATTCCCAGTCCTGCTAACACCTGTCTCCCTGCTCCAGAGCTCTGCCAATGCAGAATAAACAGGGTTTTCCCCACTCCTGGCCCCTCACAGTGCTCCAGCACCCATGGTACAGCCAGAGGAGTGACACCAGGTTGCATCAGCCAGGTGTTTGCTTTACAGGCTGGGCTGGGAGACTGCGCTGTTTGCATAAGGTGCTTGGCGGGGACAGGGGATGTGAAGCAAGTGACTTGGCACGGCCACATCAGCACGTCTCCCTACTCCAGGAAATGTTTCCATCAGTGTCCCATGGGCAGTGGGTGCTCAGTGAGAGCCCATGGCAGGGCTGGGGCACAAGACAACCTGCCTGGAAAACCCCAAATTGGACCCTACCTTGAGCTGAGCCTGTGAGCTGTGACTGAGGCCATGTCTGGTGAAACCCTTATCCCTCCCCATTCCATCTCAAGGCAATCATGGTTTTATCTGCTGGCTTTAGCACCTGGAGCACTTCAGCCTCACTGCTTGTGCTGGAGCAAGGCTGTGTTTGCAGCAGGAAGGGCTGGAAAATGTCATATTGACACAGCTAAAGGGCTGGGCACAGGCCCAGGAGGAGGGACAGCACCTCACCAGCCACCACAGGAGGCTCCCAGGAGATGCAGCCTCCCACAGCATCCCTGCAAAACCTGTGCCTGCAACCACTCTCTGCCCTCCAACAGCCTTTCCCAGGAATTTCCAATTCAGGATTCAGACTCTCCCTCCGTCCTAGGGGAGATCCAGCCTCTACATTTTGCCATGAAATAGCATTTTGGTTTTCCCTCTCTGTGTTGCTCCACCACTCAGCAGTTGCAGTGGCTGCAGCCTGACCACAGCTAAGTTTTGGGGAAGGGTGAAACAGCTCCAGCCTGCAAAGCCCCAAAGGGAGTATTTTGGTGCAATAGCCCTGTCAGTTTCATTGAGCAAGAGAGAGACAGGCCAAGAGGCAAAGCACAGTGAATCCCAGCAGGCTCCCAGCACATACAGCCCTCACCTTCATCGTGGGAAATCCGGTTATCCCGAAATCGGAGCACACTTGCTGGTTGTCCTCATCAGCACAGTCGATGGCTGCCAGCACCACTGCAGGCCTCCACTCTGTGGGGACAGAGAGGAAGGTCAGCACAGCTCAGTCCCTCTGAGGCCCCAAAACTCACCCTGCTCCCCACAGCTGCTTGGGAAACAGCAGCTATTTCTGCTGTGCTGGTGGCACAGTTGTGCCCACCCCGAAATCACTGCTTGCCCCACGCGGGACACTAACCGATGGTCTCCAAGGACAAAAACCTAGAGCCATGGCCTGTGCTGGTGCTTGGTGCCCTACTTTTCGGGCGGCAGGAACACAGGGAAAGGCATCGAGGCGGGACCCATCTTTGCATGCCCTGCCCTCGCCAGAGCCGGAGCACAGCAGCTCTGCCCACTGCTCCCTGCCTGGCTGGTTCTGCCTGTCCAGCCTCTGCCCCAGCTCCCGGGAAGAGGCCACCAGGGGAAGGGGAGGGATGGCTAACCACGGCTCAGGGAGAGCCAGGAACACAGGCTCCAGCTCATCTCACCCCAGACCGAGGACACGGTTGATAACTGGGAGGGAACGGCCCAAAATCAGTAGCCAAGTCAGGGCACTGGAGCGGAGCCCACCCAGGTTCTGAGCATCTGTTCCCCCTTTGAGACTCTCCACCACTGCCTCCTCGGTGAGGACCAGCAGGTCCCTGGGGTAAAACAGATGAAGAAAAAGGAGCACGGAGGCATTTTAAGCAGCGAGCTCTGAAAAACAGCAGGAAAATGGAGAATAAAGCTCTGAAATGGCTTCTTTTAAGTGTAAAGGACACAAGCTGGAGAATTCCCAGCCTCTCTGTAGAGCAGGACAGGGAGGGACGTGGCACTGGCACACGCATGGAGCCCGTGACACCCAGGCAGGAGCACGCTGGAGGGGGGGACCTGCTGGGACCGTCCTGTGTCTCAGGTGACAGGTGAACTGCTTCCCACTGCCCCTGGCACCTGTGGCACAGGAGAGCTGGTGCAGGGACCCAGCCACGTTCCTGGACTCATCCGCACGTGGTGCCCGCAGGTCGCCCTGGCATCCTCCCGGTCCAGCCCACTCCTACAAAAATCCACCCGTGGGAATGGCAGTGAGATGCTGAGCAGCACGGGGGCGGTTTCCGTGCCCTGCCTCCAACCTGCAGTCCAACCTCCGGCGTGGGGAGCCCCGGGGGAACCTGTTTTGGAGAGGGGCCAGGAGAACCGGCATTCCCCGCAGGGCCTGGGCACGCACCCCATTCCTCACATCCTGCCCCGCTGGGAAGCGCTGACGGCAGGGAGGCCATCCCCTCGGAGGGACGGGATGCCCGCCCGGCCGGGCCCCTGACTCACCCGGCAGCGACCGCGCTGCGCCAATTAGCGCAATGACAGGGAGCAGCCGCGCGCCCCGGGATGCCGGGAGAGGCAGGAAGAGCCCCGGCAGGAACAGGGGCCCGGCCGTAGGGGGTGCGGGGCCCCTAGCCACGGTAGCGGGC